ATATATATTTTATATCAAATATATTAATAAATTTTATAAAAAATTAAATTTCAGAAGAAGCAAGTTTAAATTCATCAAAATTATGTTTCATAATTTTAACTTGTATTGCAGAAGTAAGTAATTAAACATTTGTATTATATAAAAGTTGTTTTAATATATGATTATGTATGGTTATTTAATATTTTATCTAGGATCAATATGCAAATTCTATAATGCATGATGCAAATATGGTTTTTAAAGTACAACTTCATCGAATGGTTAGTAAAATAGATTATTTGTTAATAAAAAAAAGCAAATTTTAATAAAGTATTTGATGTATATTTTAAACAAAAATTAATTAATCGTTTTATTTAAAATAATTCAAAAATATGATCAAAATGTTAAAAATTTACTTACATAAAAATCAATAGTTAAATATTTTACTTTTTAGCCAATGAGGCATAGAAAAATGCCATCGGATCGAATAGGTCCATCTAGACCATTAGCAACTGCGTTATTAGATCTAATGGTTGAATTTGTTTTGAGTCACATGAGAAAAAACCTCCCTATGGAACTGTATTTGTAAGTATAGATATTGATTTTAAATGTAAAAATACCGTACTGTTAATAAATAAACATGCTTTATCTATCACAGGAGATGTTTAGGAGTTGTCCATAGACTTCTTTGTTATCAGAAGAAATGTCGTATTCGTTTACAATATAATTGGAAGGAACTGTGGACAGGTAAATTACAAAATATTGATTTATTGTCATAGAAGAAAAAATTAACTCAAATTTAAATAAATTCAGCTCTTATTAGTTTGCTGAAATTTTTGCTCAGTCATGAAAGTGATCTAGTCAAGAAGTATAACATTTTCCAGTTAGCCTGTCAAGTAAGTAAATCTATTTATTTAATTAAAAATTAAAAAATAAAAGTATTAATTTAGAATTCATTTTTATTTTCAAATTAGTTAAGAATATTTTTAATTATTATTATAATAGCCACTATAAGATGCTTCACAGGTTTTTGCACACTGATTTGTGAACTAATTATGTGAGCTGCTTGAATTTACATTAGCAGAAAAGAATATAGATTTATGTTAATGAATGAAAGTAATGATGTGCTAAGAGTAATTAGTAATTAGATGATGTGCTAAGAGAAGTCCTAGAATAAGGAATAGAATAAGGGTTACCAACTGTCCTCCATTGAACTGTATTGTCTTCTCATCCTTCTTTTATCAATAATTATTCTAAATTAATTAATTAAATATAATTATTAAATTTAATATGAGAGGGCACCTAACACCTCCCTCTAGTACCAAATTTATTTGTAATTTATAATTAATATTTTCAAATTATAGCCTGATTATTTATGGCAATCGCAGGTGTCTATTTTATCAATAATGTCCTCATTGAGTATAATTTTAATTGTTTGTTTTTGTTTAATTTTATTTTATCAACTCTGAAATATTACTGATAATTGATGTTCCAACATTTTATTTTCTTATTTTAAAGTAATAGTTTTGTCTTCATCATTCATTAGAGTAATAGAAAGAGCAAGACATACTATTAATCAGAATTAGACAAAAAAAATAAAATTTAGGGACTCAGAGTTGTGGTGTGCAAACAGTTGGTAATATAGAATTATTACCAACTGTTTGCACACCACAACTCTGAGTCCCTAAATTTTATTTTTGAGTTTAAAACCCAATTAGTCTATTTAAGTTTTCATAATTTACATTAATCAACAAATATTTATAACAAATTATTTTGTTTTAAATATTCATGCAATGTCCTCTTTTTTGTATAAGAAATTTGCTGACCCTAAGAAGAATGGATAGTAAGAACAATTGTATCTTATGAAGTATCCTGAGCATTGTGGTAGAGCATACATTAACAACCTAACAGTCTCCTATTTTTTTAATCTTATTGTAATATATAAGTTAACTGTCATATTGAAAAATACACTTCAATTTGAGTGAAAATCCAGAAGTGTAGGCAATTGTATGTATATCCTGCAAAAAACTGCTAAAATGAAAATAAAACCACAATCTACACTAATGTATAACCTGCACTTTTGAGTGATCATTGAAAACATTGTACTAGTGTATAGTTTAGATCAGTGTTCTCCAACCAAAATTGTTTATTGGGCCAAAACCAAAAATAAAAATACAATATGGGCCACACATATTTATTTACAACAAAACATATACAATTATACAGTATTTTGTATGTATTTTAATGTGAAATTTGCTTTTCAATTTTTTCACTTAATTTTTTAATATCAACAGGTATTTTTGATGTTATACATCATAATTGTTTTTTTTTTTTTTTAATTTTTATTGGTCAATCTATTATGACTTTTACATTTAACAATCTTCAATTTTGAGAAAAAAGATTTACAAAGATAGGTGATTTCCACTGCAGTGATAATGCTTATTGTGTGTTTTTAGGTTAGGGAATTTATCATTACAGATGTATTTTGTATAAAACTGAACTTTGTTATTGGCCTTAAATATATATTTCAATTCAGAAGATGACTGTAGTTCTATCAAATCTATCTCTAAATTTGTTGTAGCTTATTCCACAACAATCTCAAATAGACATAAGAAAATATTAAATATATTTTCATAAATTTTTAAATATGAAAATCTCTCTTGAAATTCTTTTAGTAAATTAGTAATTTTTTTGTGAATATTTAGAAAAATGTTTTTGTCACTATTAAATTTATGTAATTTTGGATGATGAATTGTAGTTTTTGATTTTAACTGACTTTCATAAAGTTTGAGTTTTGCTATGAATGCTTTTATATTTCGATAACAGTCTGTAATCAGTTTGTTTTCACCTTAACTGCTTATTAAGTTCGTTTAATTTCATTGTGATATTAGTAAGGAAACATAAATCCAAAAGCCACTGTCCAGCATATAATTTAGGAACATTCTGGTCCTTTTCATTNAAAATGCCATCGGATCGAATAGGTCCATCTAGACCATTAGCAACTGCGTTATTAGATCTAATGGTTGAATTTGTTTTGAGTCACATGAGAAAAAACCTCCCTATGGAACTGTATTTGTAAGTATAGATATTGATTTTAAATGTAAAAATACCGTACTGTTAATAAATAAACATGCTTTATCTATCACAGGAGATGTTTAGGAGTTGTCCATAGACTTCTTTGTTATCAGAAGAAATGTCGTATTCGTTTACAATATAATTGGAAGGAACTGTGGACAGGTAAATTACAAAATATTGATTTATTGTCATAGAAGAAAAAATTAACTCAAATTTAAATAAATTCAGCTCTTATTAGTTTGCTGAAATTTTTGCTCAGTCATGAAAGTGATCTAGTCAAGAAGTATAACATTTTCCAGTTAGCCTGTCAAGTAAGTAAATCTATTTATTTAATTAAAAATTAAAAAATAAAAGTATTAATTTAGAATTCATTTTTATTTTCAAATTAGTTAAGAATATTTTTAATTATTATTATAATAGCCACTATAAGATGCTTCACAGGTTTTTGCACACTGATTTGTGAACTAATTATGTGAGCTGCTTGAATTTACATTAGCAGAAAAGAATATAGATTTATGTTAATGAATGAAAGTAATGATGTGCTAAGAGTAATTAGTAATTAGATGATGTGCTAAGAGAAGTCCTAGAATAAGGAATAGAATAAGGGTTACCAACTGTCCTCCATTGAACTGTATTGTCTTCTCATCCTTCTTTTATCAATAATTATTCTAAATTAATTAATTAAATATAATTATTAAATTTAATATGAGAGGGCACCTAACACCTCCCTCTAGTACCAAATTTATTTGTAATTTATAATTAATATTTTCAAATTATAGCCTGATTATTTATGGCAATCGCAGGTGTCTATTTTATCAATAATGTCCTCATTGAGTATAATTTTAATTGTTTGTTTTTGTTTAATTTTATTTTATCAACTCTGAAATATTACTGATAATTGATGTTCCAACATTTTATTTTCTTATTTTAAAGTAATAGTTTTGTCTTCATCATTCATTAGAGTAATAGAAAGAGCAAGACATACTATTAATCAGAATTAGACAAAAAAAATAAAATTTAGGGACTCAGAGTTGTGGTGTGCAAACAGTTGGTAATATAGAATTATTACCAACTGTTTGCACACCACAACTCTGAGTCCCTAAATTTTATTTTTGAGTTTAAAACCCAATTAGTCTATTTAAGTTTTCATAATTTACATTAATCAACAAATATTTATAACAAATTATTTTGTTTTAAATATTCATGCAATGTCCTCTTTTTTGTATAAGAAATTTGCTGACCCTAAGAAGAATGGATAGTAAGAACAATTGTATCTTATGAAGTATCCTGAGCATTGTGGTAGAGCATACATTAACAACCTAACAGTCTCCTATTTTTTTAATCTTATTGTAATATATAAGTTAACTGTCATATTGAAAAATACACTTCAATTTGAGTGAAAATCCAGAAGTGTAGGCAATTGTATGTATATCCTGCAAAAAACTGCTAAAATGAAAATAAAACCACAATCTACACTAATGTATAACCTGCACTTTTGAGTGATCATTGAAAACATTGTACTAGTGTATAGTTTAGATCAGTGTTCTCCAACCAAAATTGTTTATTGGGCCAAAACCAAAAATAAAAATACAATATGGGCCACACATATTTATTTACAACAAAACATATACAATTATACAGTATTTTGTATGTATTTTAATGTGAAATTTGCTTTTCAATTTTTTCACTTAATTTTTTAATATCAACAGGTATTTTTGATGTTATACATCATAATTGTTTTTTTTTTTTTTTTAATTTTTATTGGTCAATCTATTATGACTTTTACATTTAACAATCTTCAATTTTGAGAAAAAAGATTTACAAAGATAGGTGATTTCCACTGCAGTGATAATGCTTATTGTGTGTTTTTAGGTTAGGGAATTTATCATTACAGATGTATTTTGTATAAAACTGAACTTTGTTATTGGCCTTAAATATATATTTCAATTCAGAAGATGACTGTAGTTCTATCAAATCTATCTCTAAATTTGTTGTAGCTTATTCCACAACAATCTCAAATAGACATAAGAAAATATTAAATATATTTTCATAAATTTTTAAATATGAAAATCTCTCTTGAAATTCTTTTAGTAAATTAGTAATTTTTTTGTGAATATTTAGAAAAATGTTTTTGTCACTATTAAATTTATGTAATTTTGGATGATGAATTGTAGTTTTTGATTTTAACTGACTTTCATAAAGTTTGAGTTTTGCTATGAATGCTTTTATATTTCGATAACAGTCTGTAATCAGTTTGTTTTCACCTTAACTGCTTATTAAGTTCGTTTAATTTCATTGTGATATTAGTAAGGAAACATAAATCCAAAAGCCACTGTCCAGCATATAATTTAGGAACATTCTGGTCCTTTTCATTCATAAAAATTNTTCTCAATATTTATATTACTACAAAAAATTGTGATAAAATTTTGATTACTATTTATTAACATATCATATCATTTAATATTCCTAATGTATTATCTTTGTAACTACTTTAATAATTAAACTTTGTAGCATTATTTTCTTTAATCTCTTTTTTCATATATCTCAGATCTGCAAATATAAGATTTATAAAACAATTGGATAAACAAACACAGGTATGACCCAGCTACAACAAAGGTAAATTTTAACATTTCAAACGGAGTATCGCATTGATGTTCATTTATGAGCAACCAATAAATCAAACACGAAAGTAGAAACCCAAACAGCATTTGTATAATTTCAATCACCGTAATACACATGGCTATTGTTGAATAAATCTTAATCCCCATGCATTTTACAGTAAAATAGGTATACATCAGAGAATGAACGACAACATTAACGTAGATAATCATCGATAGATAGCTCGATCGTTTGTAAGTAGCATACGATGACATAATCAACATAGTTATATGATGATAACAGTGAAGAAACATCAATTTCCTTTTATGAAGTATTAACATAATTGTATCTCCCAATTCCCAAACTTTCGAAAATACAAACAGAGTAACCCAAAACATAAGCGGCGGTGTATTTTCTATTAATACAATACTCTTATCACAAACTAGTTCGTAAAAAGTAAAGTATTTAAATTGTTCGAACAAAATTGGAATTAATCTAATAGAGCTGCAGATACTGTAAAGAGCCAAAATCCCGTTCCATATGGTAAATGCACGGTTGAAATTATAAGCAGGTCGATTTTTCATGTGATGCTGAAGGATCATGATGACCAGTATATAGAAGATAGATATGTAAATGGAATAATGCCAGTAAGTGCGAAAGAAATTTCTAAGATAATCAAGATTGAAAACATTTTCGAAAAATAGAGGTTCAACTGGAATCGTTCTGTTGTAATTTTTCATTCTGGAATAACGTCTAATGCTAAAATTATGTAAAATAGTTTAATAATATTAATTTATTTTGCATGAAATCCTATTAGTAAATAACTACATAAATTATAAAAGTTATATAAGATTAAATTTATAACACTACGTATTACAATATTTAATTGACTTATATAAATATGTTTCTATAAATAAACCTTTGAAACTTATATATATTTCACTATTTACATATAATCAATTTGATGCATATCCAGTATACTAATGTAGACTCTTACTACTGGTGAGAAATTATATTTACTGTAAATAACAATTGTAAAATTTACTTTATTAAAATCGAACTTTCATTTACCCCTTTTCCTACAAACCTCCTGTTATCACACTGAATACTATGGTTTCAAGCTCGGAATTAATACCAACCACTTTCATGTCACGATGTTGAGGGTGTTTTAAGATTTAGTGTCATTTTTCTGTATTTTACATTGGACTATTTGGACCACACTTAGCAGCTTTTATGAATTGAACAAAATCAAAATAAATACTTAGTAAATTTAAAGAAAAACGCTAAATTAAAAAATATTAATTAATTTTATATTAAAAATTAAATATTGTTCTAATAAAATTTATTATATTATTATATGTTTGAATATTAATTTATTCATTTTTACAGGTAGTTAACATATTTAATTTGTTTATTACGTATGGGGATACATTTCTCCCATCTCCTGCCAGTTATGATGAATTATATTATGAAATCATCAGAATGCATCAAGCTTTTGATAATCTTTATTCAATGGGTAAGATGATAATATCTGTAAAATTAAGTTTTTAATAACACTGTTGCTCCCCTACTTATGAACAGGTTAGGTTTCTGAGGTTTTGTTATAAGTCAAAAATTAACCTAGAAAGTACATTTGTAAACAGAATAACCATGTATTGTTAGTGTTTGATCTTCAATGTACTTAATAGAATACATTATGCTCATTTACCCACTTGCTACTGCTTAGTAGTGGGCATTTTTTTTTAAACCTAATGCACTTAGTTTTAAAATGTCCAGTTTACTTTCTATGGTAACAGAACCACACTTTTTATACTTATCTCCACTGCTAGATTTTACGGTTACATTTTGGACACATTTTTGAAGTACTGATCATAAAAGTTTACAAAAATTGCAAACAATAGTGAGAAATGCTGTTACTCCAATCTTGCCAACTTCAATTCCACAAGCGGTAATGGAATGTCAGAATTCATGTGAAAATGAAAAATGATGGAATGTAATATAAATAAATCCACATTAATTATTTATTAAAAATTTATTCTTTGAGCCACTCGCTTGCCAAATCGATTAACTCCACAAAACAAAAAGTATAGAAATTGATTATATAAGTTATTTTTTAAAATTCCCTTTAAACTTTAAATTTAAATAAACATTGTAGAATGTATTTTTATATATTGTTATATTAAAGCATAGCTCTACTATAATGTTATATAAAATTAGTTACAAGAAAAATTTGAAAATAATAACGATTATATTAAGGATTTACAAATGGAGTTAGTCGATTTGACCTGTGAATGGCTCATTTATTACTGGCTAAAGATTGGCTTCAACATCACTTCACAACCAGTAAGAGAACTTCAGAATTTGCATAAAATTTAAGTTTTAGACATATAGCAAACTGTTCATAATTAGGGGAACTCCTCTGCTTAGAATTGTCTATTTTTCTTCAAAACATTCTTTATAAGTGTTTAATTATTGTCATTCTATTATTTGCATAATACGGTATTAATATAGCAATTTTTTCCTGTATTTTTCATTCATTAGATATTTCATCTCATGCAATACAGAATTTATTTTTGTTTAAAGTTTTTTATATTTTTTTTTATACTAAAACATAATGCAAGTTTTTTCCAAAAAATATTAATTTTTACTTTTCCAGCTGTTATATAATAGAGGGAAAGTATGATGATTGGTTAAAAAATGACCTCCCCGAGATTTTACATTTTTGGAATCAGCCTTTAAAAGTTGAAAAATGCAAAAAATGTTGGAGGTTTTTTCTGTACATGTGAATGTTAGTGTGTGGCACAAATTTTTTTACCCACTTTGAAGCTTAATAATTCCTGTGCCTTTTGTTGAAAATTTGGGTGAGGGCCATATCTCAAAAAGCTCCAAGTAATGAACATTTTTTTAAATATATACAAATTTTTGTTTACCAAGTAAAAACTCATCTCTGTTCTCAAAGTTAAGCCTTTTGCCTTTTTATTATAATTAATAATACAAGAATTATTTTTAAAATAAACTCTCATAACAGATGGTACTACACACAATTTTTTAAACTTTGCTAATATGGGCCTGGATTTACAAACATCTTGTATTGTAAGTTGCCATATGCTAAAAGTCTTGTTTTCACAAAGCACATCATAAGCTATACAATTGTAAAAATCTTGTAAATACAGTAGAGCGTCGATTTACCGAATCAATTGGGGACTGAGGTTGTTCGTATAACTGATATTTCGGATAACCGATTTATGTACGAAAAAAAATAGTTTAACATATCTGATGTTGAAATTTTTCTCCGTTGCGTGTCGCTTTGCGTTGAATTTTCGCGAATGTTAAGCCTAATTAAAAAACATTTTTAAAGTAATAACAAAGACTATTGTATCGTTAAAAATTATTTTTTTATTTTGTACAAACAAAATAAATATATTGAAAAATATAAAAACATTAAAAAATTATACTTCAGATGTTAATTTAGTATCAAAAACGTAAAATATTTGAGTAGCCCAAGACATAGCCAAAGATTGAAGCGCCACAGCACTGGCGAAAATTTAAATTTGCCGACTGAAATTCTTTCAGATGATTGACTTTCGGAAAATCGACGCTCTACTGTACTATGATATCTATAATAGCTCTTGTAAGTCAATGTACTGTATCAGGAAAGGTGGTATTTGAATATTTGGCTCTATCAATAACTAATTGAGTTGATTGTTTTTTGATTGTCTGTTTTAAATATTTCTAATTTGAAACTTCAAAGATGTTATTAATTGCTAAAAAAGTTGATGGAATTTCTCACAGTGAAATTAAAACTGTTTACAGAATTTCATATGAAAAATTGATTGACTATAATTTAACATTATTTTTTTTTAACAAGAAAACTATTAGTTTGTAAATTTTTTTCAAACATCTTAAATATTTCTATTAGTATAACTACAGAGTATAAATTTTGAGCAGATTTTGTTCTACACTTAGATTGGTTACAGTTTTCAATAGATATGAGTTTTAGGTACTATCTGTTTATTATACAGGGTAATTCAGAAAGAATCATCTAATTTAAAATTTTTATATTTTAAAAAACCTAACAACAGAGAATGATCAGTAATACATGAATGTAAAAGACAAATGTTTAAGGTTTTTTTTTTTTACAAATGTTTGATATACTTCCTATAGTCATACATAATGTTAAAGTGATATGCAAATTCCCTGAAAACAAATTCCAATGTATCTTTGGTAACTGTTTTTAAAGCAGCAGAAATGTGTTGTTTAAGTTTGCATAGACTTATCGGCTTACATGGGAAAAACACTTGATTTTTTGCTGATCTGGAGACCTAGGAGGCAACTGTATAAGTGGACAGTGGCCTTGCAGCTACAAGGATTTCATAAATGACAGAGTCTCTTTTACTTTCATCTTCAACATTTAGTTGCTAGGTACCTAGTTGACAATGATCTCAACCTTCACTTGACCCAATAAACACTGGTGTACTGTATGAAATAATAACCATTTCCCTATGTTGTGTACATTAAGCAGAACCTTGCATCAGTTACTACTTACTGCAACCTCAGCAGATCTTTCTGCATATGTTTTTCACTGTAAATATTGTATCATAGCTGTATCATAGTTTCACTTGTATTATATTGTGGTTCTATCTATGTCTTTGCAAATTTGTTGTATTCTCATGCATGCTTAAAGGCATTAATGTAATCACCATTCCTATCCTTTGCATCACATTTATTTTATGCTACCATGTCTTAGCTTTCTATTCATGTTTAATATGTTTTCAGGTTTGAATGTAATATTGCGTGTTTTTCTACATTATTGAATTAAATACATTGTCAGGTTTAAATTATCTAAATACATTTATCTGTACTATCACACTTTTATATGTTGTTGTGATAATGCTGCACACTTTGTGCATAAAATTACATTAGTATGATATTCTATTACTGTTCCTCACCACCCATTATATTTTGTACCGAACTTTTGTTATAATTTACTATAATTTAATTTGTACCATTGTTTCTTCTGCCTAATTGTGCCTAGCAGTACTAGGCACAACATTACTTTTTGTACCTAAATAATGAATGAATGAATTTATGAATGTGTAACACTAAGTTGTCTGATCCACTGCAACAGTCTAATTATGGGTAGCTCTATATTAAGAAAATGATGAATCTCTGTATTCCAGTGGGGTGGTGCCCCCTCTTTTGAAAAATTAAGTTGGGGAGATCTTCCTTCAATTGAGGAAGAGCCAGATTTGTAACATATCCAAATATGAAATGCCAACACAGTTTCTTCTGCAAAAAAATAATTGTTCATCAAGTTTAATTTGGAAAGTGTGCACAGTCATATTGAACATTTGTAAAAAAAACTTAGACATGCATTCTTTTTACATTCATATATCATTCATGTAGTTATCATTCGTTGTTAATTTTTAAAAATATAAAAATTTGAAATTGGATGATTCTTTCTAAATTACCCTGTACTTACAAATTACTTGCCTAAGAGTAATTTCTACCTATTTTAATTCTAACAAAATAAATGTTATCTTCCTCAGATATTGCAAGTATGTGACGTGAGAAAATTCTGAAAATATGTCATTAACAAATGTCTTCCTATTACCTCTATTAAAATGGAAGTGGTTACTAGTGATGTAAGACACACACTCATTACTAATTTCTTTTATTTTGTCATAAGTGCTATGACATGTTTTGTGGATATGAAATATAAATTGTTAGTTTCTGGTAAGTTTTTGATATGTTGTATCTTATGATACTATGTATCTTATGAGATATTCATGAAATCAGCCATCCAGGCCATGTTTCTTAAATATTTTTTGCTAGGAAAGTTATGCAACTCTGCTTAATTTTTTGCAATGATTTTGATTTTTTAATTATTTTGTGATTCACTGTTATAATTTATTACTTTCCCAGCTCTGTTATATAACAGAGGGCAAGTATTGCAATCAGTCAAAAAAATGATTCCCAAGACTTTTACATTTTTGGACTTGGGACCTTGAAACATTGAGAAATGCAAAAATGTTCAAAGGTTTTTCTGTATGTATGGATGTTTTTTTGGTTTGTTTGCATGTGTATATATGTGTATGGGGCATGATTTTGTTTGCCCTCTTTGAAGCTTAATAATTCTTGTGCTTTTTGTTGAAAAATTCTGAAATTTTGCAGGGAGGTTTGTGTATTAGGGAGATTGATGCTGTTAAATTTTGGTGTTTAAAGATTGACTGTGTGATGAGATAAAGGGAGTTGTGTGTCATACCTTGATTAGGGTCAGACTTAATGACGATTTTACTCATTATTAGCATTTACAATTTTGTATAAAATGCATCCCTACCCTCAAAATTAAACTTTTTGCCATTTTATAATAATTAAAAATATAAAAAGATTCTTTAAATAAAATATTGTAACAGATGGCACCACATGCGGTTTTAAATGTTGCCAGGAAAGTTAAGATGGATTTTTTTTGGTTCTTATTGTATGTATATTTCAATTATAAATGCTAGAAAATTT